TTCATCATTCATCATTTTTCGAGATACCCTACTTCAGAATTTGTCCAATTCTTTTCTCCATTCTCTCATTAACCCCATCATCATTTGCATTTCCCTATTCTCCAGACTTCTTCACTCGCAAAGAAACACACAAGTACAAACTGTCTGGCAGCCGGCCAGAAAACAGCCAGCCAGCCAGACAGTGTCTGTTTGTCTGTGTGTCTGAACATCTGTCTGAATGTCTGAAACCTTTAATGTCTATGGGTTTCCCCCTTTGTGTCTGTCGGCTCTGATGTAAACAGAAATCTAACAGATAAGAAGAGTAATCATAATCCAAAGAAATACTGCCAGGGGAGAAAAGTAAATCTAAACAAGTGATAAATAATATAAACAAACAAAGAGTAAAGAAAACTTCAGGCAGACAACTTAAACAATATATACAAAAGTCCAAAGGTAAAAACAAACACAAAAAAAGTGTCCGTTAACACCACAAAAGATTTCAACAAAAAAGGCCATTCATTTCACTAATAGACAAGAGTGTAATCATCTGACCACAAACTTACATGCAGTGATAAACGCAACAACGAGGTGAATCCTCTTGGCTAAGTGATAACTAACAAGGCAATACATATATTACTTCTGGTGATGTGTTGTTACTGTTATGGCCCATCCCTTAGTGCTCTGGTGAAAAATGGGAAATAGTGGAGGGTAATGAAGACAAAACGTGAAAAGAAGGAGGAAAAGATATTTGAGTATCAAGAGACAGAGGATGAAGAAGATGCAAAACTAATAAAAAGACAATGAAATGATGAATAAAAAGAAAAATACAAGGAGAGGGAGCTTTAGAAAGAAAGAAAGAAAAGAAAACTGCACAAACAGAAGAAGTACCCAGATCAATAAGGTTATCTCGGCTATCTGATAAAACCAGTATCATAACTGTGGAGAGATATGAATGGAAGAACGACATTGTTTTCTCATTTTACTCAATATCTATTTTCTGCACTGGGATTTTTACTTCTTCATGTTTACGCAATAGAGTACCATGACAACTCACTATATACACATACATCCTGAATAATTTTTTTTTCTTTTTTTTTTTTACACTTAGGCTTTCAGGAATAGGAGGAGAAATAATAAGAAACATAGAATGGAGGAGGGGGAGGAGGAGGAGAAAAAAATAGGAAACAGAGTAAGGATGAGATAATGGAGAAAACTGTGGAAGGATGAGGAAATGGAGGAAACCGAGGGAGTGAAAAAAAAAAGCAGAAAACATAGGAAGGAAAAGGAAAAAAAGAGAAACAGAAGGAGGAAGAAAAAAGAAGGAAACAGAGGGAGGAGAATAAGAGGAAAAAAGGCAGGAGGAGAAATGGAAGGATGAGAAAAGGATAAAATAGGAAGGATGAGAAAAGAAGGAGTGAGAGGAAGGAGGTGGAAAGAGAGGAAGGAGGAAAAGCAGGAAAGAGAGGATGAAGGAGGAGGAAGGAGGAGGAAAGAGAGAAAGGAGGAGGAGGAAAGTAAGGCAAAAGGAGGAGGAAAAAGAGGAAGAGGAAGAAAAAAAGAAGAAAGAGAGGAAGAAGGAAGAGGAAAGAGAGGAAGTGGGAGGAGGAAAGGAGGATAAAGAGAAAAAAAAAAAAAAAAAAAATGAAGGGGGAAAATAAATCATGCTGGTAAGTACAGTCCAATCTACAAACCCAAAAGTCAAGACAACAGTCACTCTTCAAACTTTCTATCATAAGCATCCCTAACATCCATGCAATGAGCCAAGCTGACCAAAAGAAATCGGGTAACCTCACTACAAGGATACTTCTCACCGATACCTTTAGTCTCTCTAGCTCTCACACTCTCCAAGAGCCTGATTTCCCAGGCCCTTTGAAATTCCTTTTTCTTTCTCATAAATCCTTTCATTTTTGGGGGTTCGCCAGGGATGTTAATTACCTGCATCACTTCTTATTGCACAGTGGCTTTTCATAATTTTTATATTGTTTTAAAGCAATCTACTATAAGTGTACAAAAGGAAAAGAAAAGAAGAGAAAAGAAAAGAAAAAAAAACAAAAAACAAGATACTTGCTACAGCCTGTCATGCACCTGGATGTCATTTCAAAGAGAATTCTTTAGTAATAAGTGATTTGTGTGCATGCTGCTACACAGAAGACCTTGACAAGAATAATACATAACTCAAATCCTTGAATCCAGTTTATCCTACTTTATATGCATTTAAAGAATGTAGTAATCTAACCACCATGTTACTTTTGTTAATTCTTCTGAATATACTTGTCAGCAAGTTACAAAATGACAGTTGCTATCACTTTGCAACACAACCTTAGTAAAACTGATAATGTTAATTATTTTATTCCTCACACTATCAGCAATTAAAAAAAAACAAAAAAATCAAGCACTCTTCACAGATAAAATCACAATATAAAAGACATCCATTACATAATCCTTTAACCTGACAATACTCTAATCTCCTTAGCTAACACATCCTTGGCACCT